CAGCAAGTGAGCAACCTGTACGTGCATGCAGTTGCTGGTCAGAGTATTAGCACGATGGAACTCGCATGTTCGTTCCAGCATCCCGGAAGTCCACCTTGCCGAATTCTTTAGCTCTCGACAGAACCATTTTTTGCTACATGCTCGGCATGGATAAGCACGTGACACGCCGCCCAAAAAACAGAATACACGACCGGCGTGTTCGAAGTGCGCGATGGCACATTATTTAACATTGTTATAAGGTCTACTCTCTCGTCCAGGGCCTGGTACTATACTTGCTGAAGTTGTGATTGCTGGTGGAATAACTGCGCAGTGTTCCGTGTCAGCATGCAATGATCAGGGGGTAGTGCTGGCGTCGCTTTTTTATGTTTATTTTGCTCTGCTTTTGGATGAGCGTGCTTCCCCTTTTGACAGAATGAGAGCGATGCCTGCACACTGTTTGGAGTCCGCACCGTGACATTATCACAATGATCGATTATGTGTGCACCGCGAATTGTGATATACGGGCATTGAATACAGCTTGAGCATACATAGGCGAGTACGGAGTGTCACGGCGTTTACTCAAGCTCTTTCAAGGCTTGTCACCGGCAGCCACCTCTGGTACGCCATCCGACCATGTCACGCCCGCCGCCTGCGCGACCGTCACCGCGATCTCCCTCACCGCTCTCGCCTCCTCGAACGTCGCCCCGCCATGCTGCGCGTTCGCGAGGTGCCACGTGATCTGCCGCGGCGCGTCGACCGCGATGAGCGCCGCGACAATGGCGTAGGATATCTCCACCTGCGTGAGCACGTTCGTCCCACCATAGGTGATACCGTACCCGACCGTGTTGCAGAACCAGCCCAGGTCCGGGTACGCACGGTCGAGCAGGCCCTGCACGGTGTCCGCGGTCTCGCGATACATAGAGCGGAAGAGCCGCTCGCCGCTCTGTTCGTAGTCTGCGATAGTCTTGGTGCGATCTCTGCGCAAAGACGGTTAGTGAGAGACAAGAAATATTCAATCATGCTCACCGGAGAACTTCCTTGGTCTGCAGTTCCTCTGGTGTAGCACCGTGCAGAGCGATTAGGCTCTCTATGATCTGCCGAGCCACGATGTTAGGTCCATAACGCGGTGCGCATCGCTGCTGCTCACCCTCGGCACCCCACTCAGCAAACCTGAATGCAGGAGTGCCTCACGGATCTTGTTTGCCAGCTTGAGCCGCTGGGCGCGCCCCTCCTCGGAGTCCGCGCGCACGCCAGTCACAAGCTGGGCGGCCTCCAGCTCATGGAGCACGAACTGAAAGACGATTGGGACGGCGGCAGGCTTCCGGCTCGCGCTGAAGGATACGGCGGCGACGATGTACCAGGGCTGCTCTAGGACGCCATCGGGCGTCGTGAGACCCTGGGAGGGATAAATTGACTTGAGGGCATTGAGGAAAGGGGTCGTTGCGATATCGGCCATCGATGTACCAGCGCGAGTGGCTTCACAGTACGAGCGACGATACACCGAGGTGAGCGACTGTGTCTATATATATGAGGCCCCAGTAGGGAGCGAAACGCATAACTTATCTTTGAGATGGCAATCCGAGACAACGCGGAATGCCGAAGGGCAGATCGTGATACATCGATGACTCATACATACCTGAGCCTCAGCCTGGATGCGCGCTTGGCAGGCAAAGCGCGAGATTGCGTCACAAACCGCGCACAGTGGCTATGTTCAGGATTCTCGAGCCAGGCTACTAGGCAGAAAATGCACATGAGACGGTGTGCACATGCCTTTGGAAGCTCTCCGGGGCTGGTCTGTAGAGGTTGAAACTGGGTGAGGCGACGAGTATTACCTCAACGACAGCCAAAGACTCGGGGTCGGTGGCGACGAAGATGCGATCACTCCGCAGGCGTAGCACTAGCAGCTATTAATCTGCATAGAAGAGAAGATTTGGAAGCACAAGGGAAGCCTGGAACGGAGAGCCGAGTACTTACTCTACCTATTGGGTGCCCCGAAGCAGGGAGATGGCTGTGGCTGTGGGATCGCCACTGGTTCGCCTTGTGGAACCATGTAAACCTCGTTCACTCGGATTGGGACTCGGTGATTTCGAGCACCGGTGAGCTAGGAGCTACGGTTGTCTCCGTCTCTCTTCATGCGCTCGTTGCTTTCATCGACTCGGGTCAAATCTGCGCGAGACACCAACTGTTATGTGAGAGCAGCGGGCGTAACTTGATCGAAGCCCCAAGGCCGTCTTGCGTGACGTGCAGTGAGTTGTCTCTCTAGAATCATAGTACACTCTAAGCATGCTCTGAAGCATATAGCTTGAAGGAACGTACGTGCTCGACCCTCCGGTACCCTCTTCGATCAGGACACCTACGTATAACCCCGCCACCCGCGCGAAGATAGTGGCATCATAGGATACCCGATGCGTCTCTGCATGAGATGTTCTGTCCTGAAAGAGCTGCTCTGATACTTCGGACAAGGTGCCCACAGAGAGAACCCGAGGCTATGACCTACTTGAGAACATCAGCTGTGATGCGGAAGTGCATGGCACTGCTTACCATTCCCCCAGAACAAGCCTGCAGCCTCATGGTGATCTCGAGGCTTATGGAATCTTCCGTCGCGCCTGTGGTGCCGCTGGCTGAACCCAGTGACGTCGCGTCACGCAAGGCGTTGCTGGAATACTTGTACCTATTCAAAACCGATACGGTGCATTGTTCTCTGCAAGCGGAGTTCTGCGCGGTCAGTATGACAATATTCAGCTCTGGCGACATCAATCCAGCGTCACCGCTGTGTGACACCGAAAATCAGACTTCCTGAGTCAAACCGACCGTTTCCGTGCACAAGCGAACTTCCGTTCTGAGACACCGCCCAGCCAATCCAATCCAATGAGCATCGAGCTGTGGCTTGATGAACCGTGGCCAACATGAAGCCACGCCCTCGTGACGCGTTCAAAACGCGATGCTGGACGCGTTAAATGGCCAAGGTCAGGACGCGTTCGCCCTCAACACATCTTGTCCTCCCACCACCACCACCCCATACTGTCCCCCTCTCTCCCTCACATGACGATGACCGGGACCAAACGCCCACGCGATGGTGAGACCGTCGGGGTACCTGCAGCCCCCAAAGTCAGCCCCCTCAAGAAGAAAGCAAGGATGACGGGAAGCCCGGTCCGACCGGGTGCGGCACCAGAAGAAAAGGTCATAGAGCCTGCATTGTCCACGCCAAAGAGGCACATCCGGGACGCACAATACGACGGTAGGTTGATACAGCCCCTCGTGGTTGTGACTCGCCTTGACATCCTCGATGGCCCGCCATAGACACTATACTGCCTGTGGCAGTCAAACGCGACAACTGGCCGGGCCTGGCTGGTTTCAAGACGTGGGTGCATCTGTGAGTAGGATCAACCATTCCGTTCTCCATGTGAGACGACGTGCTGACATCTACGCACCCGCACAGCGGCGATATCTTTAGTATCGGTGCGGATAATCAAGAGAAAGTCTGGGTATGTGTGCATTTGTCCGGATCCTATGTTACTTACACTCACTGCATGGTCTAGCACGACTACCTGAGGGACAGGTTCCACGCCGAGGGAAGGGCGGCTGTCGAGGTCAAGAACCATGCGACCAAGATTGCATCCGTGTTGAGCGACCTCCCGGTTCAAGCCGACGATTATTGCGGAGAGCAACCTCCGACGAAAGAAGACACTCTTGACCCCGAGACGACCTTATACGGTGAGCATAAAGAGACGATAAGTTGCAACCTAACGACTCACCTGAGTCAACCAGTCATCTGGCTGGGCTTCTTCGATAGTTGGTGAGATTTTTCACACATATCTCGCGCTTAGACGCCTAATTACCTTGCAAATGGCAGTTACGAAGAGATTGAGGTGGAACCCGTACCCGTCGAGAACCAGTCTGAAGACCTCTCCGACGACGGAACTGAAGAAGACAAGACTGACGAAGGGTCGAAAGGTCAACCAGATGACAAATGTGGGGGTCAAACCGAAGGCGAATGTGGGGGCACCGAAGGCGAATTTGAGGACCAAGCCAACGACGAACCTGGAAATTCAACGCTCGATGAACTTGAGAATCGCACTGACGACGACTCCGAGCACTCAACCGACGACAGACCCGAAAACCCGGCAGACCTCGACCACGAGCCCGAGGACGCGACTGTTGATGAATTTGAAGCTGCGTATCAAGTAACCCATAACGCACTTATACCGCGCCGCGTGCGTGAGCGAGCGGCACAGCACGACCCCGCACAAAACCCTGATTTGCGAGACGTGGTTTCAATCCTGTTCGACAGCGTTCAATGCATGAGTGACAAGGCGCGCGCACGCAACTTCCTCATCATCGACGTACCCCCTGCAGACCGCGCGCCGAAGATGATGACGCAAGGATGCTCAGACGACGCCAGGTGGTTTATCCAGGTCTGGAACGAACACCTACGTGCCGCCGCACGAGATTTCACCAAGGACTACCCTGACGTGTCACTGTTCGTTGTCTCGTCCCACAAGGCGTTCTCGGACATGCTGGATGACCCAGAGGAGTGGGGCTTCGAGGAAGAGGACGCAATGGAGACCAACGGAAAGATTTGGACGACTGAGCGCCATGTGCCGGTGGCTGTCTCCGACAAGGTGCATCAGATGCTCGCAGACAAGATTGCGCTGGCAATGTCGCTTGTCGAGGAAGACTGAAGGCGGGATGGGCCACACGGGCGTATTGGTTTTGCGCCTCCGATTCAACAAAATGTCTATGATGTGTAGGATAGCAAACGTTAGCTGACGACGATTCGGACATAAAGAACAATACGTGTATACCTCAGGTTACTTCACTGTATGATACGACGGTCATGACCATTCTCAAGTATTAGAGTTAAAAAAAACAGTGAGCGAGGGCCTTCGACACAGGTCTGTAAAACGTCGCGCGCACCGACGCGCCTGTGGCTGGGAGTCGTAGTTTGGATCTCCGCTCGGGCTTTTCCGTGTCAGCAACTGTCAGTACTTGTACACGTGATTCTGGATCACTTCAGTATACTAGTACTACTTAAGTAGTTCTGAACAGGTTCTACTACATAATGAAAAGCGCGGTCGAACTGTACCTCCTCAGAGCTCTCGCGGTTGGCGCATGAGACTCAAGTATTCAATATTCAGGGCGCAGGTCGCAAGTCTGCGTGCGGAGCGTACAGCCGCCGACAGTCCGATGGTAAGTAGATTGTACCCATGCATCCGCAAACACGGTGCCTGTACTTATCTGCATCGGTACCGACAGATACAGAGATCGCGCTCGGGCTGAGGATGGAAATGGTGTCGTTACAAAGTTGGCGTGGTTGAGGACGGAGATGGGGAGTGTCAGGCGGAGCGACCCGCCTCCTGCGTATGCGTGATATCATCCTCACATTCTGCGCTTTTCGTCCACATTAATACAGTGTACATGCCCCAACGGTTGGCAAAGAATAATTGCACGCATCATCCTGGTCCGCGGCATCTCAGAGGGCTTTCTGGGTCAACCATCGCGATATCATCGCCTGCGCTTCCGCCGGTTTGTCATGAGGGACGTATCAAAGTCAACACGAGCAGTCAGCACTGGTTCACTGCACGAATCGAGAGGAATACTCATCATATGTCCAGCGCCCGCTATTGTTGCAAATGTCAGCGGCCCCACCGTCTTCGTCTCGCCCGCTACGCCTTCGCCGACATCCCACCCCCTCCACGCCTCTGTCTTCCACGCCTCCGCGCCTTCCCACTCGAGTTTGTCGACCCACATCCGGTTTGCGACCCAGTTGCACTGCCAGTCATACGTGCCAGCATAGATCAGCACCCGTACACCGCGCGCGAGCAGGCCCGCGACGTAGTACTGAGACGGCACAGCCCACTTATCCAGATGCGCGCGGAAGCCTGCCCCGACGGCGCTGCTACATGCGGTGAAGTTATATGGAGAGGAGACGCCAAGGAGTGTGCGAGTGGAGGGATCGTCGAGGAAGGACTTGATGACGGCATTTTCGTTATAACAAAGGCTTGTACCTTCGCAGGGCTATGGGGTTGCTATGCGTGAGAAGTGTGACAACTTCATGGGGGTGACACGCACCTTTGAGATGTCGTACGGGTTGCGTCCTGCATGGGAGGATTAATGTCACTTCTCTGTTGGATGCCTCGCGCGTCAGACTCACCACTAGCCCAGTAACCCGTACTCAGCTCGGAGTCGCAGAAGTTCACAGCGGCGTTGCAGTCAATAGCGTCGAATTGGTCGATGCAATTGGCGTACATCGCTTTCTGGCAGCGCGGTAGCTAGCGCGACGCGATCAATACTCATTGCTACAGATATTGTAGGAAAGGACGAACCGCCATCTTCATCCGCACGCAGGTGCTGATCTTCTGGAAGGGTGCATCCAGGGCTGCTGTGCCGCACTCTATTTCATATCTTCCAGGATATAATCTTGGGAATATCGAAAGAATTCACCACATACTCTGCGTACAGTCCGTATAGGGAGTGCGTACGTTGAGATATCCGTGATGCCATTGCCAATGATCACGCTCTGCAAATTGATCGTCTCGCGTCCCTCTGCGTGGGCGATACGATTCTGGTCATAGATGTAACTCGCAAACGCGGGGAGATATCGTCCACCGTATGACTCGCCAGCGAGATGCAGTGGGCGTCCAGCAAACTCGGTGAACGTCTGGAAGAAGATGGTGATGAAGGCATGCACGTTTCGAGTGGCATCTTCGGTGGTCTCGATCGTCTCGCCGTAATCCGCGTACGAGAAGCCGACGCCGACGCTAAGCAATAACCTCATCAGCATGCGTGGAAGATTGCAATCTGAAATAGCCTACGGTTGGTCGAGAAAAAATATGTTAGCTTCCGCGTTCCACGAGTACGGATTCCACGTCGTTCGATTATGGGAGGTGCCTGTCATGTCGATTTGGCAAGGCCCTATTATGCGGTCATGACCACCTGCATATCCGTTGTCGCAGAATGAACTAACCTAGCTCCATGAGGAGGCCCATGGACGAGGAACAGCCCGGTCCACCATTAATCCACATCATAACATCGTCTGGTCACGATTCTGTATCAGTGAGAGTTCAATGGCCATCGGGATTACTTGAACCTGTCTCTGGCTCCCTCCTGCTCTCAAAAAAGTAGAAGAATAGGTGCTTCGCCCCATAATCGACGTCCAAATAGCCTGTGTACACGCTGCCACCATTGATTAGCGTTAAGCAGCGGTCACATATATAGCGGATGTCGCACTTCACAGTGGGGTCGCAGAACTCGGTCTTCTTAACGCGTACTGCGTAACCCGGCAAGCTCGCATGAGCGAGCTCTTTGAACGTACCCTCTGATGCGACGGTGGACAGTCGGCGCAAGCTTGAATCCCAATTGTTCATCCCGACCGTTGTCTGCTCCTTGACAGCGTGAACACCAGCCAGAAAGACACCAACAGCACAGAAAGCCGTTTCCCATAGCCGAAACATGTTGTTCGAGAGTAGCATGTCTCGCTGGCTGTGAAGTTCGCCGACGCCAGGCCTGGGGCGATTCAGAACTCGTTCACACGCGAGGGTGCGGAACGAGGAACGACTCGAAGGCGGGTGCGACGGCGCGCCGCTTATCTGTCGTCACGTGGGTCGTGTTTTGCTTGGGCGCCGGCATCAGTGCCACAGACGCGTCTCACAGGACTATGTACATGAGGGCTAAAATCCTATGTAGCTCAGTAAATCAAAGAGACGGGAGAGATTACACACCGCAGACAACGCATTCATTGAACCTCCCTGCACGCTGTGGACCACTGCAAGAAATTGAACGAGTAGCCCGATATGCCAGTGCGGTACACTGGCACCGTGGCAGTACCATTGAAGAACCTCGTTGGACGGCCATCAGAGCGCGAACAACGGGAAGACACGAGCGCGCAGAGGGCAACTGGAGATAAGCTTTCAGCATCTGCGCGAACCTCTGCGTCACGGCAAGACTGAGAGACAATAGGGGCAGTTCATTGGCAGCATCTGCATGAGTAGTCTCTTCTACACGATGGACATCGCTGTTTGGTTCACAACTCGGCAAGGCCCCTCTCAAATGTGAAGTCAACCTCGCCTTTCTCCTGCGCCATCTTCCACTGCAGCTCAACCTCGGGCTTGACTGTCGCGAGCACGTCAGCGCTCTGGGGCTTCCACCCGATTGAGCGCGCCCGGGCCGCGCGACACGTCGTCCCACTCAGGACGCTGCCAGTAGACTGTGCCCGTGATGATCAGTTGATAACACTCTGAGAAGAAGGGGAGCAGGGAACGTACCACCGATACCCTGTAGTTCTCGAGCTCTTCGTTAGTAAATGACGTAGGCTCAGCGTCCTTCGCGAGTCCGAGGTCTACGAGCGCCTGGCCAATGGCCTTGCCGATCTCGTACCAAGTGATGTGCCCGTTCTCAACAAAGTAGTAGCCCTCCCAACCGTGTCCGACGCTCTGTGGGTTCTTGGAGGTCGCATCGAAGAGCGTGATGTATATGTCGGCCATTATAGAGGCGAGTGGGCATGTTAGTACTTGTGAGCATAACTGCGAGGAGTACCGCAGGTACGCACCGTCGTCAACATGAGCATGTGGCCAGACGGCCTTGCCAGGGCCGACCATGCCGCCGCGCCTCCTGGCCAGGGCTGCCTTCAGGAGCCCCGGGATCTGGATGGAGAACCGCTTCGCGATGCCGGCGTCGTGAATGGGAGCCGATGCAATGCCGTACACCATCCCCGGAGAGATGAGGTACGTCCGCGCATAGCTTGTGCAGTACCGTCAGTAAATTCCGACGCCATCGCCCAAGGAATAGAAAACTGATCGCACCTTCCTCGTCTGCACCGATCACAGCCAGGTCGACGTTGCGATTGGGGGCTTCCGGTGGGATTGACTTCATCTGCTCGATGTTCAAGCCTGAATAGACGGTCTCAGTGGCGTATTCCCCATTCGCGAACTCGATCATTTCGCCCGTGCCGGACTGGAACTAGCTGTCAGTTCTATGTAGCACTACGCGCACGCTTTGGATACACTTACAGTGTGGATGAGGACAGGCAGCTGGCCAGTGGTCTCGTGCGCTGTTCGCATTCCTCTCAATACCGCGTTCATGGCGGATACGTTGTCCGCGTTCGCCTGTGCAGGATTCGGTGCGTTAGTTCAAGTCAGGGTTTGCAAACGGCAAACTACGACTGACGAGGTTAAAAATGACATCCGCTTGCAAGGCAAGTGCCTCTATTGTGTCATGCTCGCTAAGAGAGGCTACCTCGCGTTTCGCGCCTAGCTTCTCGAGAACTTTCGCCTTCGAGAGAGAGCGTACGGGCGTAACAATCTCGAAGGTATATGCCTTCGGGTGCTTCAGAAGGCGGCTCAATTGAGTACCTCCGATATATCCTGTAGTAATGGTGTCAGGGATCGTCGAGTAGTAAAATGGGGGATAATGCAATACCAGTGGCACCGAAGAGCAGGATGTTCGTCTTGCCTGTCATGTCTGTGAAATTGACTGCTTTTTGGCTGGGTGCGAGGTCTGTTGACAGAGATTGCATCGTATCGACGACGCTCTTATATTCGTACCTGGCTACTCCAGTCTATCTCAATAGATGCGTCAGTCAGTCATCCTAGTACCAACTTCCATCGGCCGACTTGAGCTCTTGATGCCTCAGTCATGCATCGCGTAAGCTACACCAGAGACATGGCTCCGTAAGCTGCTTGAAATGACAGGCGCAAGTGCATGGGTGTCCAGCTTAACGGTTCAGAGCAATGGTTGAGCAGACGAGGTGCATGGTGCAGCTACCGTCGCCGATGCTGGAAAAGGGGCTATTGCTTACTACGCCACCGCCAGTAGTCGCGCAATTTGCCCAAATTAATCCCCAAATGTACACAGACATGCACAGACATGTTGAGAAGGAGGAGGAGGAGGAGAGTTGTCGTATGGACAGAGAGGCAAAAGATACCATCGAACATTCAGTCGGGGGAACTGCAGTCACTGCGACTAGCGCCGCGCGCGCGAATCAAACGCGTCAATACGCGCAAAGAACGCGTTCGCGTTGCCACCGGCGCGTTTCGTTAGCATTGGGCTGGCAGCTGTCCTCGTCGCTCATGAGGGGTTCATATTCACGGACGCGCCGAAAGACACTCAATTCAAAAGGATGACCTGCAGTGGTGTGCGGGACGGTGCGTCGCGACTATCAAGGCTGCCTCGAGCATAGTAATCGTGCGCACTTATATCAGGCCTGCGCGTCACTGCCGAATCCGTCCGGAACACAACCTCCGCTGCAAATGAGTTGGATCATAGCACCTATCCTGCAGAACACTTTCACCTATGGGCTAGAGTGCCAGCGCACGTGTCATTTGAACGACTCTCTTAAGGTCAGTTGAGTGGGTTCTCTCCTGCCAGACGAAGGCTTATGTTGCATACCGCGCAGCACGGACAATCACAGTAAATGAACTTCTCAAGCACGGTGCAGTTCTTCATGCGTTTGAATTGTAATATGCAAGCCGAGGCTTCGCCGACATGCTTGCACGTCTTCTACTTTCACCACTCTGTCTATTCACTCGATCGTGACTAGGGCGAGGACATTGACTCTTCTGTAGGTCTATACGGGCTTTGTTCTCGCCCGAACTACCCACGCGGAGGTGACGTGAATGCCAGAAGGTAAGTTTGACGGTCAGATAGTTCAGGGTTATCCCGCTGACAGACGGGGCTGTACAGCGTGAGCATCTCACCGTACAAGTGCCACCGATGGGTCGCCAGGCACACGAATCCTGTTTGCTTTGCTTGAATCTTGGACGAGACTTGCCAGTGTTTCAGTCATGTCTGAACAGGCTGTGACTCAAGGTCACCCTAATGCCTCGGCATTCTTCTGTGTGTCGTATTGCCGTTGTCCTTCTCAGTGAGTGACAAACAGGATTGTCGCCAGTGCGATTCTATCCCTTGGTGTTGATGGTTGGAGCCCTGCCCGCGAAATATCAGCTTCGCTGTCAACTGTCAATGTGCAGTACATAGACTGCGAGATCAAGTGCGCGGCATATATATATGTTATCCTCCACTGACACCGGCTCCTTCGCCCCTCGTCCACACCAGATGTTTCCCCCATACCTACATAGTTGCCTGCACGCACAGTATGCCCTCTTTGTCCCCTTGCTCCTCTCTCTGGACGCCTTAGCTGGTCAGATCAACAGGACGATCGATGATCAATACGGCGACTCATCCACCGGTATCCAGCCAAGTTACTCGAGCAACTGGAACTTTGGTCCAGAATGCTCTATCTGTGCTCTTCATCCGAGTGCGAGCGATGCATTTGACGGTACATGGCACGATACGACTTCAAATGCTACGGATCCTACGCAACCCTATGTGACGCTGGACTTCACTGGTTCGTGCTTCATCCATTTTCCTGTAGCTGGGGTTGAACAGCCTGTCCAGGAACCGATATCTGGGTGTATTGTATCATTGTCAACAGCGCCAGCGCGGCCGACATCGTAACATTCACCAATATTACCTTCGAGTTGGACGGCGCAGTGGCCGGCAGTTATGCCCATGAACCCGATGCGTCCGCCAGTCAATACGTATACAATGTTTCGGTCTTCAGTCAAACGGGCCTCAGCAATACGGAGCACAAGCTGGTCATGAGTACGGTGCAGGGATCCCAGTCGTCCGCCCTGTTGTTTGACTGGGCCATGTACACGTGAGTACACATTACCTTTGCATTGCCCTCTTGAACCAGCGATTGAACACATCGGCGAAGCTTCGACGATGGCAACACTAGCACAACGACTTCGACCACCCAAACCGCGGTTTTGTCAACTACTATGAGCTCGGGATCGACAGGTCTAGTCACAGCTGTGACGACTGTGAGCCAAACCGCATCTACGTCGAGCAGTCCAACTGCTGCTGCAGAGCTCAACACGTCCCACCACAGTAAGTGATTTTTGAGTCTGCTATGTCGACTTCTCTCATCTAAGAACAGGTGGACCAGCCGGAGCAATTGCTGGCGGCGTAATCGGCGGCCTTGCTTTCGTTACCATTTGTGTCCTCCTCGCGGTCTACTTCCGTAGAAAGCGAACGGCGCCATACGTGGAGGGAGGGAATAGCCAGGAGATTGACCCATTCGTTGCAACTTCGAATCGCATTCCTCGAGGCATGCCAGTGGTTTCCTTGGATGACCTCTCCCCAACCTCACAGGGAGGATCACTCGGATCGCACAAAAGCGCTGCTGGTGTAGGCCTCAGCGTTCCTGAGTCTATCGATCCGTTTGACGGTGGACGTCTCAACGAGAAGCACGCCCCGTCCACATCCTCGTCAGACTATGACCGTCTGGAGCACGAGGCGGCAGAACTTCGACAACAAGTCGCGACCTTGCGCTCAGCTGTCAACAGTACGGCGCAAGGCGGCACACACGCAACAGAGGGCAGACCGTCTATTCCTGCCATGCCCGCACCTCCTGGGCTCACGGGTGCGGAGGTTGAGCAGGAGCTCAGGAGAGAGATGGCGACACTGCGAGCGGAGATGGCGCAGTTAAAGGAAGAGACGGACGGTGTCAGGCGGGGCGAGCCACCACCTGCATATATGTGAGCTTGAGGAAGTTTGGTAATATCTTTTTTTTTTTTTTTTTTTTTTTTTTTTTTTTTTGGAGGGCCATCACGGATGGCTGCAGGTGACAATGGGTCATCCCAGCGCATCCAGCCTGCGTACGGGTCTCCCCGTAGTCGCCAGTCCAGGGTAAAAAATGCCATATTACGCACGGTTGAACAACCAGTGTGGGGCTCATCAGTCCGGTTCGAGGTCTACTCGTAAGGCCGGCGTTCTACCCACTAAAAAACCCTTATAATTCATCCAATCATCCGGGAGCGCAGGTTCATCCCACAGTACTCCATTCCACGTAGCGTGTATCAGGTCTCGTTTTGACACAGAATTTGCGTATTTCCTCCGTGTGGACTCGATGTCTAAAGCCAGCCGGCCGTTCAACACGTATTGCAGCTTATTGCTCACTCCCGCAGTTCGGTGTTCCCACCTGTCTTCTCCGGCATGACCTATCACTCGTTCACAACGCAGCTTCCAGATTAGGTGGACTGCCTCAGACACCAGTATCCGCCACAACCTCGTGGCTCCGGGGCGCCCGCGTTCCGCTTCCGTCTCCCACTTTGTTAGGCCGAGGGAGAGCACCCATGCCATGGACAAGTCGGGCCAGGGCAGGGCGGGTATTTTCTTCTCCCAGACTGTCCGTACCTTCGACCAAACAAGCGACTGGCCTATGGCTTGGCATTCAAAAAGAATATGCTGTATGGTCTCCAGGGCACCGCAGTGACCACACTGCGCCCGGTATTCGTAGTCTGGGATCTTGCTCCAATAGGGCCCGCATTTGAGACCTCCATGCATGACTTTCCACAGGAACACGGCGAAAGGCCGGGTGAAGTCTCTATGCCGAGTGCTCACCCAGATTAGTTCATTCGGTATCGGGGTGTCTGCCGGTAAGTGGCGTCGTACCATTTCCAGGTTCGCAGTTGTGGCTCGTCTGGAGGCTGTTTGCTTCCGTTCCATGATACCGCTGTACGCGAGCGCCTGCGTCAGGCAGTCTAGCCTGGCTCCCGTTAGCTCAAAGCGTGGATCGAGCTCTCGTGTCGGGGCTCTGGACACGAGAAAGGTCTGCGGTGGCGAGGTGGAGGCCTCCTGTCGAGCTCGTTCTAGGACTTGCCAGGTATCCTCGCCTGTCACCTTCCCAAAGGTGGTGACTGCACACCTCTGACGAAGGTGGTTCAGGAGCGGTCGCAAGTGTGCAGCGAGTGGGATATCTATCCATCCCCGGGTTTCCCACATAGGGGCCCGTTTGAAAATCAAATCGGTGAGTACGTTATTGGTACTCAGAAGGCATAGCGGGGCATCGAGGGGCGTGTGTTCAACGGCGTATAAGGCCGCTGTCAGCTCGCCTGGTGCTGCGTGTTCTCCGGGTGTGTTGTTCGTCTGGCTGACCAGTCCGTTCCTGGCGTCACTAACACCGAAAAAGATCGCACAGGTGTGTTCTTTACGCATCACTGTAGCATCTTCTAGGACTATGTCATTTGTAGGCTTAAAGATAAGGGCCGTAGCGGACTCCTCCACCAGATGCTGGCATACCCATGTATGAATCCCTGTAGTTAGCACAAAGGGGTCATACATAGATCCCAGTAGTTACAGTGCAGTGATGACTGCACCTTCATACATGAAGATGCAGCCGGCGCCTTGCTCACTACCCGAAAGGGCAGCTGCCCTTCAGGGACAGCCGGGTCATCCACCGCTGGCGGGAGCTTGCGGCGGCCATACCCTAAATAGGACCTGTCGCGCGCTGGTCCACTTTGGGTGCCGTCACGGGCATCGGGTGATTGCAATCGCGATCCGCTCGATCTGGCTATGTACGGCTCCATATATAGTAGCCGCGCCTCGTTTAGCATGGTGCCTGAATTATGATAGTCTGTGTATCGAGAATCTATGTCGCGCGCCATGACATACACACTCCATATGTCGCACTCCACAATATACACTTGAAAGGATTCACATTTGTTCTTTGCAATGTCAATTGCTACTACTACTCTCTACACGACGAGCCAATTCATGAAGCAACATGTCCCAATTTGGTATGTTTAAGGTTCCGACAAATGATCAGGCTTGATACATTCAGTGGTCGTGTAGTTCTTAAGGCTGCGAAGGGGATTCGAGTACTATAGCGCTCGCAGAGGCATTATGCACGGATCCGAGTCTTTGGTGTCTCTTCCGGCCCGATGTCGGGCTTCCTCACTAGTGTCCCCAGCAACGCGCTGTAGAGCACGGTATTGCAGTGGGTAACGATCTGCTTGGACAGATCAGCATGGTAGCAATGCGGATGATGAGTGGCGAGTGTACTTACACGACCTCTGTGGGTACCAGGAGGATGGCATGGATGTTAGAGAAGCAATGGGCATCGAACGGCAAAGACGCACTTTGACCGTCCCCATCGACATCCACGTCGTGGATCATCTCGTCGACCTCGTTGCCCGACAGTTACTCGCCTGCGCACCACCCGCACAATCAGCACCGCCACCTGTCCACGCAGACGAGGGCACTCACCGCGGTGAGTCATAATGCGCCCGAGCCCCGCAGCAGAGACGTAGCCACCGCCGTCCTTGTCGAAGACCTTGAGCACCCCCCTGATCTCCTCCTCGCTGTCCGTGTCACGCATCTTGCGCTCCTTCATTGTGAGGAACTCGGGGTTGATCGTGCCGTTCGGCGTTCGCGCCCACATCGACCTCGTTGATCATGTCTTGCAGCTCCGCCTCCTTCGGGTTCTGCCCGAGTGAGCGCATCCCTTCGTACCTGCTGACGCACTGTTCCTACTGGTTAACGCGCCATTCGACACGTTCGTCGCTGCGCCGTCCGACATACTTGTTGACGAGAGGGTCGGTCTAGGATGGATAGTGCATTGGTGCATGCATAAACAATCGGGCCAAATGAGCTTACCTAGATGCATTCATTCCTGGATGTGTCTCAGAGTCTCCACCGTTGTCTTCCGTGCAGAGACGAACATGAAAGCGAGATAGTAGAGTTACAGTAGCCTTGCGGGCGCCCGTAAACTCAACGTTTGTGTCTGTTTGTTGTCTCGCCAAGTTTGGCAACCCCGATGTGCTCGGGTTGTTCTCGACCAATCAGCACGCGTTTAACGGTCCTACTTAGGCCTGCAACATACCTGTGATTCGTGATTGGGACGTTTCCGCACCGTGTGTGCATGTATTGTATGCTAGAATAGGGATTGATTACATGTTTAGTGGCATATACCACAGCAGATGAGATGTGGTACAATATTCTCGTGTGCAATAGTGTACTGTACTGGTTCTCAGCCGAGTCTCGAGTCGTAGTGGGTGTTGCGGCGCGATACATACTGGACTCGATGACTCGGATGAGTACACATTCATTGTACATATATATTATATTCTGCCATTACAGTTCGTTGTACGTTGAACATTGCACGCACACGCGATGTTTGCGAATTAAACAAAGCAAATCCCAGACTGATCTAGTATATGTGCTGCGTGCGCCCCGGCCCTGCCCACCGTCGCGGTCACCCACTTTTCGCTCACGCGCCCACCTTGTGTTCGTTGGCTGTGCTTGCGTGCTGGGAATTCGCCCCTGCACGCTCGCGATCGCCGTGCGTGAGCTGCTGGTCCGCGCTCTGTACTCGCCTGTCCTCTCGCCCTCGCACTCTCTTACCCACTTGCCCTCTCGCTCGCCAATCCACCCACTCTCCTACTGACCTGCTCGTCCGCCTGCCGTCCCGCTCACCTGTTTTATCACTCGCCTACTTGCCCGCTCGTCCGCCCGTCCATCCGCTCGCTCGTTCAGTCGCTTGGCACCCGCTTGTCCGCCGGCCTGCTCGTCCATCCGCCCTCCCGCTCGTGTAGCTGCTCGTATACCTGCCCGCCCGCCTACATGTCCGTTTGCCAGCCTGCGCCCAGCGCACTCGCAGTGAGTGGCATGCGCTGTCGCCTACCAGCGTGCCCGCCTGTCTGCTCTCCTACCCGTCCGCTTACCTACTCGTCCACCTGCCCGTCCACCCGCCCACCCGACCACCTGCCTGCCTGCTCATCTACGTCCACGTACCTGCCTGCTCATCTACGTCCACGTACCTGCCTGCCTGCTCTCGCGCCCGTTCTCGCCTGTCTATGTCCACCTTCCCGCCTGCCTTCTCACGCGCCCGTTCTAGCCCGTGCCCGTGGTCCGCCCGTTGGCTGCGTTTGCACGCGGGGCATTGGCCCTGCGCAATCGCGGTCGACGCGCGTTTGCTGCGCGTCGCCGCGTCCTGTGGACACGGTCAGCTCGCTCGCTCGTATGTGATTGCACTCACCTTGATGCTGGCTCTTCGCTGACACACCAGCTGTCCATTTGTCGGCTGCATCTGCATGCGGGGCGTTGGCCCTGCATGCTCGCTATCGTAACTCGTTGTACGCGGTGTAACGATGTCGGTCACCGGCGTGGGGTGGTGGAGGTCGCAAACAGCAGGCGGAACCGCTCGCCCTGCGCTCGCCGCTCGCTCGGCTCGTTGCGGGCTTCCGGGCTTAGCCGAAACTGACGCCAAGCAGCGGGCTGGGCGGCGGCGCAGGGGACTGAGATCGTACCTGATCTCAGATGCGCTGACCCCGATGTACGTCCATATGGGGCAGCCGAGCATCGCGCGCCAGTGGTACCGCCCCGCCGTGGACGAAGGCACCGGGCTGCCCCGGCGCGACTGCTATAACAGGTAACGACCGACGGCGCCTCGCTCATACATGAGCGAGCGGCAGCTCATGTATGAGAACAGGCCTTGGTAAGTACAGCTGTTTATGTATGATACCTTTGTGCTAACCACAGGGATTTCATACAAAGATATGCCTATATGGCCTGACTCCTCTACAACCGCTCGGCCGGGGCGTTGTCTGACCGTAGGCGGAGAGGTTAACGTGCTCTGGGCGACAAATACTCGGAAGGTTTCCGAGACGGTGCCGGCTGATGTTACAGACGGGTTGAAGGTGAGGAGGTCCCCATCCTTGAGGACTGCCTCGTCATTTTTCTCTTGTCGCCTCCTAGTAAGGGTGAGTCCGTCCACTACCTGTGGAACGAGGGGATTCCACTTGGGGATGATCTCGCTGAGGATTCTGAAGGCGGCGATTCTACATGTCGCTGGGTGTAAACAGCCCCGTGTTCGGAGCGCCGAACACTCCGGACATCGACAATCATTATCCTCCCAGAGGGACGTGTGCGCTGGTGGCTGGTCGCCGCAGGTTGACCTGGTGGCTTTGAGGAGATCGGATACCAAGGTGACACCGTGTCTATCTCGGAGACAGTCGCTAATCTTCGTATTGTTCAGTCTCCGTAGAGCCTTCGTGGCTCCTATGTGATACCAGGCTGGCAGGCTTTTCTTGAGTGATGGTCCCGCTTTGACCGCTTCCAGACAGGCATCAAAGCGTTTACCGGCCGTGAGCATTCGGCGAGCGTATACCGGGAGCCCCGACTTGGTGCTAAGGGCAGGGTCCCCACACCATGCAGCCCTTTTCACCCGAAGCCTATCCTGTAGCCGACGTGCCGTCTCGCGGAATGTCATGGGAGTAGCCTACGCCGGCCGACGCGTCGGCTTGTACGATGAGGATGGTGCAGCCGACGTAGACATAATGTACTTACCTGGGTGCAATGTAATCGGGATTCGTGATCCCAATTGATAGTGTGAATCGACCAGCCGGGCTTGTTTGTGAGTTCGAAGCGTCGGCTGGCTCAATCAAGGCGTCGGCTCACTGGGAATGCATCCGCCTTGCTCGTGTGCCACCGTCCTGCCCTCGCGTCGTCTTGTTTGCCCGCCGTCCTGTTCGTCTAACGTTCTGTTGGCATACCGTCTTGGCGACCCAATTTCCTTCTCGGGTGCTGTTTTACTCGC